AGTATTTTATGTACATCAGCCTGAATAGGGCTTCTGGCTGTGCAAGGTTCCCTTAAAGATTTTCTGCTTCAAGTCTCCCTTTGAAATCTGCCATGAGCACAAAATTATGGTAATTTTTCACCTTATGAAAATTCAAACCTTATGAAGGTTCAAACCTTATGATTTCTGGTTCTTAGGAGTGACCAGTCTCAACTACCATCACTTTCCCTGGCCAGAGGCCAAACTTTTTTCACAGACTTTAGAATCAACCATAGGGAACAAGCTGGAAATTCTATAATATACTCTTCTTATTACCAATAATACCATTCTCATACGTGAAGGTCAGAAGCTCTCTTTTTGGCAGAAAATGATTCTGATGAGAATATTTCAGTAAAATGAAAATTTTAAAATTGTAAACTATTTGGTTGTGCATCTCCCGGTACTTTGGGAAGCCGAGGTGGGAGGTTTGCCTGAGTCCAGGAGTTTTGAGACCAGCCTGGGCAACAAAGTAAGATCCCAGCTCTGCAAAAAATAAAAATAAATAAAAAAATTAGCCACCCATGGTGGTGTGCACCTGTGGCCCCAGCTACTTGGAAGGCTGAGGCAGGAGGATCCCTTCAGACCAGGAGTTCAAGGCTGTGGTGAGCTGATTGCGCCACTGCATTTCAGCCTGGGTGACAGAGTGAGAGCCTGTTTAAAAAAAAAAAAAATTGCCTCTTTCAATTTTTAGTCAATTGCAAATTTTTATGTGCACTTTTTAAATTGTTTTTACTATTAATATTCATTATAAATTGGATAAAAGGAAATATAGTTTTTTTTCTTAGCTAATTCCTGAGAAAGTAGCCGTTTGGGGCTTTCTACACTGTAAATGATCACAGTACTGATTTGCTCATCCTCTTTTTCTGCCTGTGTCTCTATCACTTTGGCTACTGCATTCTTTAGTGCTGCTTCTCTTGGGGCAGCAGAGAGCAAATGGCAGGGCCAAAATGTTTTGCTTTGCTTCAAATGTATCAGTATTCTGGGGGGAAAGGTAGATGGGGCGTTTCTTAAAAGGCACCTTTTGCTTTCCCTCCCCTGATTTTTCCCCTATTTCCTCTCTCCCTTCTACTTTTCAGCCCTGTCATTTTATCCAACTCATCATTTTGTCATTTAATTTTTCTGCTGCTTCTCTACCCCACTTCTCTTTCCCCAGTCCTCTGCCTGCTTTGGCCTTCCCTTGTCTCTTCCACTCCTTGTCGGCCTCACTCATTGTCCCAGACTCTCCTCTGAGGCATGTGGCTGTACTTTCATTGCTTTTTTCTATTGTCTCACCCCTATTTTGTTCCACGAGTTGCTTATCAGAGTCCTCAATGTCATGATTATAAAGGCTTAGAGAGAAACTCTTGCCCCTGCCGTTCAGCATCCCACTGGGATCAAGTAACTGAGAGAGGTTGTGAACCTGTGCTCCTTGTATGGCTTTAAAAGCAGCACTGAGGGTGGCCAGCTCATGTGGGCTTGACTTTATGGATCTGTCTGAAGACAGAGGGATGGATGATACGATCTCAGGAGGGCCCTGCCAGATCGAGGAAGCTGGGAGCCTCATCTCAATCATCATCAATTTAGATTTATTGGACACCTCCTGGGTGCTTGGAGTTGTACTAAATGATTTCATCCTTCAAGCCTTGAAATCTAGTTACTGCCTTTTTAGCACTGTTTAAAATATTATAATATTGGGCTGAGTTTTTACAAGCCTTTGTTATTCTTTCTGTTATTATTTACTACAAACTATGTTTTAAAAAACTGAAATTGATGACTTAGTAATGGTATTGGATTGTCCTTAATGTCTTTAAACATCTAGTAGATTTTTAAGATCCTATAGATTTCTACTCCATATGCGTTCCTCTCAGCTAAGGTGAGATCTGAGGGCATTCTGAAAAGTGGGAAGGATAATATTTACAGGGAGATGTCTTATGGGCACTGGAGCTGGGCTGGGTGGGGTTGTGGGGAATATCTTGGGAAAGGAAGGGACAGGGTTGGAAAGAGAAAGGAGAAGGGGAGCACATGCACGAGCATTTGGAAATCACCTATTTAGTTGACAGATGCTTACTGAGCGCCTACTCCGAGCAGGTCATTTTCAAGACACTGGGGAAATCACAGTGAATGAGAGATATTCAAACTACTTACCTTCATGAAGCTATAGTCTAATAGGAAGAGAGAGCCAGTAAAATAAATGAATAAAATTGGTGGCATGGACCAAAGCAACAAATAAATCAGAGAAAGGAGATAGGGGGTGTTAGAGGGTTTAAGTTTTATAAAGACCTGAAGGAGGTAGGGAATAAGCTAATGCAAAGATCTAGGTGAAAAGCAGCATATGACAGAAAGAGGAATCGTGGGCCAAGTGGAGTACAGAGGACAGAAGCTGGGAAAGCAGTTAGAAGATGACAGTGAACCAGGTCAGAGATAACTGTGACATGAACTAGCTGGAAGCAGGAGATGGGGAGAAAGGATTGGGCTCTGGGTGCATTTTAAAGGCAGCGGCACCAGCAGGGCTTGCAGGTGGACTGGACATGGGTTGCGTGAGTTGTGGGAGAAAGGAGTGAAAGATGGCATCAAGGTTAGGCTTGAACACATGGAGGATGCAGTTGCTCCGCCGTGAGATGAGGGTAACATGGGAATGAGCTGGAGTTCAGTTTGCGGCATGTGAAGTTTGAGTTCTGTGGAAGTAGAAAATAGTGGGGGAAGAGCCCTTAATGAAATGAAGGTGGAAATCAAGGGTGTAAATCTTAGAGAAAACAACATGGATTTGGGCTGGGGATGAGATAGGGGAGAAAGAACAGACTGATGGGAGATACTAGGAGTGAATTAACTACAGACAGGATACAATACTTATCCAGATGGGACTTGACACTGGGTGCCAGTGAAGCCTGGGCAAGCTAGGAAAGAACAAAAGCCATTGGCTAGTGAAAAGCAACATACAGGAATAGCATGGGAAGACACAGTGAGCACAAACTGGGGCATGTCATATGGGCTTTGGGAAGGCTAGAAGAAACAGGAAGCACTCCAGGAAGAAAAGAAGAGGGATGAAAACACCCTGAGATAGGAAGTTGATCGGGATGTAGATGGATGATGTAGGAAAAGGTTGAGAGTTTCGGCCACTAAGGAAAGTGTCAGTTGGGCACAGCAGCTCACACCTGTAATCCTAGCACTTTAGAAGGCCAAGGCCGGAGGATTGCTTGAGCCTGTAAGTTGAAGACCAGCCTGGGCAACACAGTGAGATCCTGTCTCTACAAAAAAATAAACAAAATTAACCAGGCATGGTGGTGTGTCCCAGGTACTTGGGAGGCTGAGGCTGGAGGATCACTTGAGCCTGTGAGGTCAAGGCTGCAGTGGGCCAAGATTGTGCACTGTACTCCAGCCTTGCTGACAGAGTAAGAGTCTGTCTCAAAAGAAAGGAAGAAGATAGAAAAAGAAAATGTCAGTGTGGCTCTTGAGGAAAAAGACCAGATGTAGACTACAGTGAGGGGGAAGGGACCATGGCACGGGGTGGGACGGGTGCACTGAAGAACACCAGGAAGCTCTGACTGCCAGGAGATGTTCTACCTGTGAACACACACACACCCTTTCTCTAATAAAGCATTTATTTCCCTGTGCCCTGAATTTAGTTTACTTGGAGTTGTATTCTCAGCCTCTGAGTGTGCTTATCTTAGGCATATCTGATATGTGGCTGGTACCAAGAGATGCATTCCTACATATAGGTTTGCAGGCCTCCTGCCTTTGGACAGGGAACACTTCTGGAAAGGAGCTGACTATTCAGCTTACAGATTTTCCATTTCCTCTTGTTTTCTTGCCTATTGGTTAATTGTCTTTGACTTGTTTCACTGCTTTTTGGTCCTTTGGGCAGAAAACAGAGTTTGTGAAACTCACTGAAAACATGTGTAATGCTTTATTTGCAGTTCTGATATAAACATCATTGGATACAAAGATTAAAACCGGTGGTTGAATTAAGTTTTAGAATTGTGTGGATTAAAATGTTTACATGCTTGTGATTACAAATAATCAGTATTCTACTGAATCAAAATTTCTTTTTCACCCTTTCCTTCTCTTCGTTTACCCCTGTTGGACTTTTCCCTCTTCCTCTTCTTTCTCCCATATTCCTTCCAGTCCTCCCAGCTGACATCAAGCTTAGGGGCCTCAGGATTCTGAACTTGAGCAGAAAACAGCCATTTGTGCTGCTCAGGCATCCTTGGCTGGAAGAAAGGGGAAGATGGGAAAGAGACTATGTCATTTTAAGGTCAAGGGTAAGGACTGAAAGGGGATCAGGAGGCCAAAGTAACTGGGAGAAAAAATCTGGCCACACTCAAGGTGCTGCATGGCTGGGGGCCATGGAAACGAGGTTTGGGGGCTGTAGATCTAGGGAAGAGGGAGAGGAGGAGACAGAACAGAGGCCATAAGATGGTTCTCGTTAGCTGGGCCAGATAGGAGACTCTTAGGAGAATAGCAAAGGCTGAGCCCTCATCTCCCCATCTGTCCTGCCAAGGTCAGTTCTTCTGCATTGCTTCACTCCTCCCCACAGTGGCTCCGGAGGGATCCCAAGCCAGGTCCCATACTGCTTCATTCTGGGACCTGAGACTGTGAGGCCTGGCTCTGGAGGGCTGGTATATGACTGCGACGCTGGGCCTTTGGTCTCTAGGTTCTGAGAAAGCTGGGGAGGTGGTGGGTGAGAATGAGATGGGGGTGGTGGGGATGTTGAAGGTCATTGTCCACACACTTATTGGCTCCCTTACTTTTCTGTAGTGAAATCTGTGCTGGTTAATACCTTTCTTCCCATTTCTTTGTCTTCCCTAAACCTCTTTTCCATTCCTTATCCTGGATGCACCATCCTTCTGTCTTTGCTCCCTCCCTCTCTCCTCCTCTACATGGCTCTCTTTTTTCCTGCTCTTGTCTCCCAACCTCCCATTTCTGGCCATGGTTCCATGTGCCTCCTCCAAACTCTCTTTTCCTTGCCTCTCCCTCCCCATCCATTGGCTTCTCGCTCCTCACAGCAGAGGGGAAGGTGTACAGCTCAGATGAGGAGAAGCTGGAGGCACCAGCAGGAGACCCAGCAGGCAGCGAACAGGAGGAAGAGGGCTCAGGCGGTGACAGCGAGGACGACAGCTTCCTGGACAGTTCTGCAGGAGGCCCAGGGGCTCTTCTGGGACCTAAACCGAAGCTAAAGGGAAGCTTGGGAACTGCAGCTGAGGAGGGGGCACCGGTGGCAGCAGGGGTCACAGCTCCTGGGGGGAAAAGCCGAAGGCGTCGCACAGCATTTACCAGTGAGCAGCTTTTGGAATTGGAGAAGGAATTTCATTGCAAGAAATACCTGAGCTTGACAGAGCGCTCCCAGATTGCCCATGCCCTCAAGCTCAGTGAGGTGCAGGTCAAGATCTGGTTTCAGAATCGTCGGGCCAAGTGGAAGCGCATCAAAGCCGGCAATGTGAGCAGCCGTTCTGGGGAGCCTGTAAGAAACCCCAAGATTGTTGTGCCCATACCTGTGCATGTCAACAGGTTTGCCGTGCGGAGCCAGCACCAACAAATGGAGCAGGGGTCCCGGCCCTGAACGGGTGCCCAAGGACTTAGGAAGGCGAGGGGTCTGTACCTGATCCTGTTCTGAGACTGTCAGGGTTCTGTGGACCAGAGGGGCTGCAACTGTGATTCTGCCTGGAGAGGGGCTAGTTGGCAATTAACCTCGTCCTGGATGTGCTCCTCCCAGAACCTGAGATGTGTGAGCACTTGGCCCTGAGCCTGTTCCAGAGACTTTCAGGACTAGGGCTTCACGGCTAAAGGGGCTGGGGTTCTAATTGCTGAGGAGCTGTTGGGACTGAGGTGGACTCCTGGGGAGGGGGTGGGTTCTAAGATGCGTAGGGCCTGAAGGTTCTGTGGCAAATGCCCCGGAACAGCTTCTGATGGGTGGAAGAATCAGCCAAGTGGATCGCAGCTCCTTATTTATTTGTGTAAATGTGTATATATGGAGCTATCTGTCTCTGTCTGTCTGTCTGCATCCCTGAGAGGGATTGGGAAAGTTGTTTCCTCAATCCTCAGCCAGAGTTCGTCCGTCCTGCTGCTTTGGGATGGACCGCATCTTGCCTCTCCTTACAAAGAAACAAAAATGGAATCGTCACTGGCCTCTGTAGAAATTCTTCAGCACTCCCTCATCTCCCCCCAACCCCTACGTAAACTACCTCTACCCCTGCGCTTTTCCACTGGGGACTGCCCACTGCTCTTGCCTCTACACCTCATGCTCCTAACGTACTATCTCTTCTGCTTCCCCTTAAACAGGCAGGCTTCTCCAACTCTGTATTCTCTTCCTTGAATGAGTTGGCAGACTTTGGGAGAGATTCACTTCCTGTTGTATTATGAAGGGACACGAAGTACTTTACCTTAATTTAGCTGGGGTATGTCCAAGCCATCTAACTAGGTGGAGGTCACTAATGACTGGGGCATTCATATCACCTGTGAGCTCATGAATAAATTGTTTTCTATGCAGAAGACACGGCAGCTTAGTCTGTCTCTGCCACCCTTCGATACTCCAGATGCAAAGGCCGAGGGGGAGAGACCCACTTCCAGTTTTCTGTTCTCATGGCATTGTCATCTCTTCTCCCCATTGTGCCAGTTTTGAAGCTTGGGATACCCCTACCTCTTCTGTTACAGAATAAGATCAGTTGAGGAGGGACCACTTCAAGTGGATGGGACAGGCACAAATCTGTGTGATAGACGTAGCAGAGGCTTGGGGATCGTTGTGGACAAAGTGAACACAAGGAGCAGGGCTCTACAGAGCCATCTGCAGACAGAGGGGAAAGGGCAGAAACCAGTGGAAGTGGTATGATCGGAACTGGGCTTCCTGGGAAGAAATATGACCTGTATTGATTTGGGAGGGGAGCTAGAGAGCAGAGCCATTAAGAAGAAAAATAGCCTGTTGAATGAGGCAAGGAAATGAAGGTATTAATGTCGGGAGGACAGGGAAGTTCAGCTCAAATACCTACCTGGCCAGCCTCCTTACCTTCCTTAGAGGGAAAGCTTCTGGCTATTCCCATACATTCTTCTGGCTATGGAAGACTTAGCTACATCTCATCACCCTGACGCATGCCGGACACTTCTTACAGAGACCGACAGCTCTCCCAGGCAGCTCATTTCTCCCAGTTGGTTTGGGCAACCAAAGCAACCTAGGGCCGTGACTGGTCATTAACAATGGTACTACAGTTCTCCAGTGAGAACACACAGATCTAGGGTGGATCTTCTCTATTTTTGGGGTAAATTTCAGCAGAGCTTGAGTTAGGCTAAAAATATGTAGTCCAGATCAGCCCCATTCCCAGCCTGGTCTAGGATCAAGGCTAAGTCTCTCTGATATCTTAGACTCAGCCTTCACAGGGAATCTATGGGGTTAGATCTTTTTAGGAGATAAGCCAGACAGAGGTTGGGGATCACAGGAGCTGCTTTCATTCTGGCAGGGCTGGAGCAGAGTTTCCGTGGCCCTGTGTTCCCTGTGAGTGGCAGGCGAGGAAGCACCTGGGCAGGAAAGCCACAGTGGAGAAGCAGCTCAAACCAAGGCCCTGACCTACAGGGTTTTTCTGGCTCTACCTATGTAGCCTAACCCTCCGTTCAAAGCCATATTCAGCCAGCCCAAGCAGCTTGTTTTCCATAGGGAATCTGGAGGTGATTATTGCTAGTATTCAGAGCCCAGGAATCCTACTCTTCCACATACCCGTGGCCTTGTCTCTATTTGCCCTAACTACATGTAAGGTTCAGCCTTGCAAAGGGGCTGCGGGCTGAGAAAGCCTGGCTTCCTCTCTCAAGAGTGTTACCTATTTACCTGCATAGCCCACCACACCCAACATATGCTCATGGTATTTTAGAAAGGGCTTATGTCAGGCCTGTGGGAAACTTTTTTAAAAAACAAGACAAGGGCCACCAGCAAAGTGGGTCCAGGAATGAGGCAGCAAGACTCCTCAAGAGAGTCAGGACTCTAAATTAGCAAGTTCTCATCCTTTCAGAACCAGCAGGGAGAGGCGTTTCCCCCAGGTCTTCCCTCCGGAATAACTAAGGGATTCAGAGAGAAAGAAAAGCAGGAGCTCTGGATTCTGTCCTCAGCTGGGCTTGGCAAGATGGTGGGAGTTAGAGCGGCTGTTCTGGTGTCAGCCACCTCCCTCCTCCCCTTTCCTCACAAGCAAAGCGCAAGCACAATTCAGTCTATGCTGTAACACAGCTGTCTGGAATGAAGCGTTCCACTTATCCTGTGGCCCCCTCAGTTTTTCTCCCAGGTACTGACTCGATTCTCTCCCTGTGCATCCTGTTGCATGGTCATTCCCAGCCTTGTAGGAAACAGGAAATGCTTATGCCCTCTGGGTGCACTTTGGCCAGTACAGGGCATGGAAATGAGCTTACTCCATAGAACGCTGATGACAAATGAAGAGAACAGCTGGAAAAGCTGCCTGATGGCCAGGCAATGGTGGCTCATACCTGTCTGTATTCCCAGCACTTTGGGAGGCCAAGGCAGGTGGATCATCTGAGGTCAGGAGTTTGAGACCAGCCTGGCTAACATGGCGAAACCACCTCTAATAAAAATACAAAAATTAGCTGTGCATGGTGGTGGGCACCTGTAATCACAGCTACTTGGGAGGCTGAGGAAGGAGAATCGCTTGAACTCAGGAGGTGGAGGCTGCAGTGAGCCACTGCACTCCAGCCTGGTGACAGAGCGAGACTCCATCTCAAAAAAAAAAGCTGCCTGAAGGTCGGGGAGGCAGCACCCAGTAGGAAGCAAAGAGCTCTGTGTCCTTTCAAGGCACTGTGCGGTGCTGCTGGAAACTCAACCAGACCCTGCCAAGGGACGGCCGAAAAAAGAAAGCAATGCACGTAGGAGACTGAGGAACGACCACCTGGGGCCCAGGCCAACGGAGGGAAGAAAATCTTAGAACATAGCAAACAACGGGAAGGGATGAGGGGCAGAGCTGAGGGTATGCTACGGAGGGCAGCGATGCCAAAGGGGGAAACAAAGCCACACACAGTCTGGTTTATTGGCTCATCATACACACACACCAAATATGTACACAAACATAAATATTCCAATGTACAAAGTTTACATGGGACTCACAGATCACCCCTCGTCTCTTTCATCCAGCACCCCCACCCTGTGCCGTCCTCCTTCCGTTTCAGGATGAAGGTGTGTGAGGGGCTGGCACTAGGAGGCAGGGATCTGGAGGAGGGAGAGGTCCTGCTCCCCTCTCCTCACAGGCACCTCCGAAGGGTCCTGTCCCTTTTCAATGGCACCTTAGGGCAGAGGGCTAAATCCCTCATTCCCTCTCTGCTGCAGCTCAAATCCCCAAACTCTCCTTGGTCCCTTTGACTCTCCTCCCTCATTTCCTCTGCTTCGTCCTTTCTATATGTCCCTGCTTCTCCATTTCTGTGTCTGTCCCCACAGTGCCTGGAGAGAGGAGGATCTTCAGGCCCAGGAATCCTTCTGGCCCCTCTGCCCTCTTCCTGGGCCTTATAGGAGGCTAGGACTGCGGTGCAGCTCAGCAGAGGGGTTGGTGCCATTGGCAGGCTCTCTGTTGGGGGTAGGTGCTAAGCCACAGCCCTCCCCAGGGCAGCCATGCTGTATCAAGATGTCTGCACACTCCTGGCTGCCGGCCCGGCGAGCATAGGCCAGTGGAGTCAGGCCCCGGGCGTCCCGGCTCCTCACGTCTACCCCGTACTGTAGGAGAAAACACATGTCTACAGTTGGCATGTCATGGGAGGAGACTGGTTGTAGGGGAGGAAAGAAGAGTGGCTTTCAAAGGACGGGGCTAAGAAGAGCAAAGTCAGAACAGGCCTGAGGCATGCAACTCACCCAGATGAGCAGCTGCGTGAAGACGACGTTGGCCATGGCACTGGAGAGATGTAGGGCCGTCCGCCCGTCCCCATCCCCATAGGTCTCGTTCACCTCCTCCTTGGAGCCATGTGCCAGGAGCATCACCAACAGACGCAGGTCATCTTCCACCACAGCCCGGAGCAGCTGCTGCCCCAGTGGCACATCTGAGCTTGGCAGTGGGGCCAGGAAGAGCTTCTGCTCATACTTGGCCCGTATCCAGCGCTCCTTCTCCTCTCTGCAACCACAGGCCCATCAGGGCATGAGCCAAGGAAGGACACCAAGCAATGGGTGGGGCCAGAAAGGAAGCAACACCAGACACCGGGGGGGGGGGGGACAAGGGAGAAAGTGAAAGTGAGAGCAGAAAGGGAGGAGAGAAGCCTTAGAAACTCCTGGCACACAGAGGGCCAGTGGGTCATGGAAAGGGGGTGGGAGAAGCTGAAAAGCAGGGAGACTGAAGGGAGGCCCCCTGGGTACAGTGGGGATGTGGGGGCTGCGAGGGCAGGAAGATTCCAGGCAGGCCCGTGTTGCAGCTTATCTGGCCATCTGAACTCTCTTGGATTGGCAGTGCTGGAACAAAGCGGGTGGGGGCCTGCACTGGAGGGCCGTGCATTCCCCTATCTCCCACCCATTCTCCCCATCTCAGAGCTCCGGAGTGGGCACTCTGTACCACACTGTGATAGGGGCCCTGCGCATGCGCCTCCTGCTGGCCCCTGACCTGCTGATAACGCTCAGCTCAGAAAGGACCCTCAGCTCAGAAAGGGCCCGTTGTTCTGAGGCGCCTGAGTGACAGGCACCAGAGCAGGAGGGGCACCCTCAAGGGGCCAACTGCCAAGCAGAGCAACAGACAGTTTTAACCCTTCTAACACCATCACAACCACTCCAATCTTCCCCGTGCTTGGAGCCCCCAATGGCCCCCCCACTCCTGGCCAGCTCCAGGGTGCCATCTGCTCACCTGCAGGCATCAGGCACTGGCTTGGAGTAGCCATCCAGGGCCCCCTCCCAGACGCTGTTGGCAAGGGCATTGCCCATGGCAGTCATAACAGCCAGCAGCTCAGGTGGCCAATCGTCAAGGTCAAGGGAGCGCACCCGGGACAGGTGAGCCCCCAGGTGTCGGTGGATGCCCGAGCACTCGATGCACATCAGGGCACCCAGGTTCAGGCTGGCCCAGTCTGGATCTAGGCAAAGAGAAGAGAATGATACAGCGACAGCAGGCAAGCCACCAGAGTGTGGGACAATTAGGAGTCTTCCTTGTCCTCTTCCCTGTTCTTTTGATGCTTGCAAAGCTTTCCCCAGGCTGTCCCCAACTCCCAGCCCCACTAGCCTTGCACTTACTGGGGGCATCACAGTCAATACAAAAGCTGTTGCCACGAACAGTGCGGACGGCCTGTACAGCCAGAGCTGCGTTCTGGCTCCCCAGCCGAGTCTGTCACACAGCAGGAGAGAGAAGGGGTGCTTGGTCAGTCAGGAGGCTCCTTTCAGTCCCATCCCAGCCAGGTGCTCTGTGTGGGCCCAGTCACTCTGTACCCACCTTGTCCTTGGCACTGCGGCAGCCTTGCAGGCTGGCAAGGATCTGGGCCTGCACGCTCTGAACCCACAGCTCCCGCTCCTCTGCCGTTGAGGCCTCGAAGTGCCATGTCTGCCCGGTGAGGGACACCACCACAAATTCAAACGACTCTTCTGCCTCTGTGTGGGGGATGTTTATGCCATCAGGGCTCCTGGCCCGCAGGCACACCCGGAGTGTGCCATCGCTGCAGCTCCACTCACTACCCAGCTCCACTGGCACGGGTCCTCCTCCCCAGGTGCAAGGCTACACGCTCCAGGACAACTTGCAAGAGGGAGGCAGAGTAAACTCGCAAGATTAGCTTGACTTCCCAATCCTCATTCCTAACCACCTGTGGAGCTCAGGTGAAAACAGATGGGGGACACAGGGTCTTGGCACCCCTAGCACTGCTGGGAATGGGTATGAAACCAGAGAGGGGTGCTTCCTGGAGAAAGAAGAGCTGAGTATCTGGAGAAGGATGCCACAGGGTGCTAGGAGGCAAATGCTGGGAGAGGGTGGGGGAAGGCGGGCGTGGGCACCATCCGTACATGTCAGCTACAGCCGCCTCATTTTGCAGCTCATTAAACCCAATATTCCTGACGGCGTCAGCGTGGGGCTCCTGGGAGCGGGGCCCCTCCCCCACTACCATAGTATAGACAGGCAGGAAGGGCATGTGGATAGGGGAGAGGAGGAGAGGTGTTCTCCAGGCCCTGGAGCATGTGAGCAAATAAGGGCCTGAGGGCATCTGTAGTGACAACCCCTGAAGGCTGGACTGTGACCCCAAGTCACGTGGTGAAGCTCTTCCAAGCTTTGCTCCCCCAGGCCCTGGAAGACAGCCACATGAATCTCATTCCCAATGGCCAGCGCCCCATGGGTGAACAATTCCTAACAAGCAGTGTGACTGTGTCCTGGAGGCTGGAAAGACAGCACAGGTACCTGTGGTAAGGCCCCAGGGTGAACCCCAGTTCTGCCAAGGCCATCCCTGCTTGTAAGTTCTCACTGCATCTTGGCCCCAGGCAGCCTCACTCAGTGACACCGACATCCTCTGGAATTCCTACTCTGCTGGGCCCTTGCTCTCAGGGATGGTTAGCAGAACTACCTTCCCACAGAAACAGAACCGGTGTCTCCTTCCCCAGGCACCATCACTGCGCCTTACCTTGCTTTCAGTCACAGACTTTGAACTATGTGACCTCCATGATCATTTGTGGGGCTCAGTCTGCCAGACCAGAAGGGACACCCCACACTGTGAGTACTAAGCATCACTGTGGCACAGGTTGGCTAGGTGTCTCTGCTTACCTGACCCATACCTCTAACCCTGACGATTAGAGCAGAAATGAAAAATTACGAGTCTATAGAAGTTAAACTTATTTGGGAGCAAAGAAACTCCAATCACTAAGACGAGGGAGGTTTTGAAGATACTTTGGGGAAAATCCAAGGCGCAGCAGTGTAATAGAGGAAGAGAAAGGCTCTATGGAAGAAGGCTTCAGGAGCTGGAATTCCTTAGCCTAAGGAAAACTAAGGAGACTCAGCCAATCTACACAGGTATTAAGCACCTACTAAGTACCCAGCACCTTTTAAACTTGGGATGACACAAGAGATACAAAACGCACAGGTCCCACCCGCACATCTTAGAGGAGCTATTGCAGTAGCAGTCTGCTGTCTGTTACCTTCTTTAAGAATAAATGAAGCCCACATTTCAACAGAAAGGGTTTCAGTTAGCAGAAGAACTTTTCTGAGATACCAGGTCTAGATTACCAAAAGAAGTTGAAATACTTTGATGAGCAATTACTAGAAAGTGTTTAATCCACTGAATTAAAAAAAAATAGGTGTTACTTTTAGAGTACTATCCCCAAGTCCCACTGCCCACCTCCTGTGCCCAGTTTCCCTCTGGGTCCCCCTAACCTTCAGCAGCACTGCTGGGGCCGTCTGGTCGGGGGGTCCCGGTGCTCTTTTTCCTCCGGTGCTTCTTCCGGTTGGAGTGGGGAGATGGGGGAGGCTCCAGCTTGGGGCTGGAACCGAGCACCTCAGCTGGGCCACTGGCTGGTGAGGGGAGAGTTGGAGAAGTGTGGGAAGAAGGGAGGCAGAGGAGGGGAGGGGCACAGGGCACTGGGAGGAGGAGAGGACCAGTCCTGCCAACCGTAGCTAGGCCACACTTGGGAGAGCCAGACAGACACCTCTCTCCAGGTGAGGGGTCTGCCTGGTTTTCCAAGTCCCAAAGCTCCCCAGCCTTGGAGGAGGAAAATGTGGAGAAAGAGTAGGAAACTTAGGCAGAGCAGGATGGAGGCAAAGGGAGGAAACTGCCTCTGCAGCCTGGAGGGGTAGAAGGCGGCCCAGGGAACTCATGGGGAGCTGAAGCCCCAGCAGCTCCGCACCAAATTTATCCTCAATCACACTCCCCGCTCCTCACAATTAATAGCAGAATTAGAAACAATCAGGGAGCTGCCTAATTACTGTCAATTAGAGCGCGCTAATCAAGCTCCGTCTCCC